TGTCTTTTTAGAAGAGTGAAAAAAAAAAACAATCGCTTGACAAGCTCAAGTGAAGACGAAGAAGAAGAAAATGTTGGCAAAAAAATGGAGAGGACCATGAAATGAAATTGTATCGCACGGTTTCTTTTGACAACGGCTGTCAACGGATATTATTCCGCTGTCATGGTTTCACAGCCTTCTCTTCTGTTTCCTTTTGGCAGCGCGACGTGTTGCACAGTTATGGCTGTCTTGAACACTTCAGGTTGCCAAAAAAGGAGAAGTGGAGTGCCAAGCTGTCTCCTTGATGTTCTGACAGGCAGGGCTGGCGGGCAGGCAGGCAATATTGTTTCATTTCCCGGCCATTATTTGTTTACTTTTGTGTGTTCTGCGTTCTGCCATGCCTTTCGGGGCTTTGTTCTGGCTGGCTGGCAGAACCTCTCTACCCCACCAGGGTTGTTGTTATTGTTATATATGCTCTAGTGACACATTGTGTCAACTTTTGCTGTTAAAATAACATTTTCCCCGCATTTCAGTTTCGTTTTCATTTCATGGCTGTGGCTGTTGTTCTTGTTGCTGCTCTTTCCCCTCCAGGTCATGATATGGGAGGAGGGAGAGTTGAAACAAATTGAAACGTGCTCGGAATGCCAAAGATCATCTTAACTTGATTATGACACGTTGATTTTTGTTGGTGGTGGCCACCACCACCACCACTCAGAATTCGGAATTGCTTCATTCGCTTTTGCCGAGGTTTCACTCCTCACACATTTCAATAAAAAAATTCAATTCAAATGCACATTGCAAAACGTTCCACGACTCAATGAAGAAGAAAATATTGAAATTATATTGATACAGTTGAAAGGATGCGAACGTTGCGGATCATAAATTATAGTTTCCATATTTTTTTTTTTTTTTTTTTTTTCAGAGAGAGAGAGACATTTGCCAGTGGGAGGTCAGTGGAAATTTTTGAAGAAAAAAAAACGTTTTTTTAAAAAAATTTAAAATTTTTGGAAATTAAAAAAAAATATTTTTGTTTTTAAATTTAAAATTTTATAGAGAAGGAAAAATCTTATTTGGGAGGTCAGTGGAATTTTTTTGGAGAACAAAAAAGGAAAAAAAATATATTTTTTAAAAATTTTCAAAATTTTTGGAAGTTAAAAAAATTAGTATTTTTTTAAATATTTTATTATTTTTTATTTTTTATTAAAACTTTAAATTTTTAAAACAGGAAAATTCTTATTTATCGTTGGGAGGTCAGTGGAAATTTTTTAAGAAGAAAAAATTTTTTTTTTTAAATTTTTAAATTATTAGAATTTAAAATAATGCATTTTTTAAAATAAAAAAAAATATATTTTTGTTTAAATTTGAAATTTTTAGAGCAGGAAAATTCTTATTTGTCAGTGAGAGGTCAGTGGAAATTTTTGGAGAAGAAAAAAAGGAAAAAAATATTTTTACTAAAAATTTTAAAATTTTTGGAATTTAAAAAATGCAGGAAAATGATAATTTGGCAGCGGGGGTTAGTGAAAAAGTTTTGGAGAAAAAAAGAAAAAAATATTTTTTTAAACAATTTTAAAATATTTGGAAATTAAAAAAAAATATTTTTTTAAAAAAATTTGAAAATTTTTGGAAAATTGCATTTTTTAAATTTGAACAATTTTATTTTCTTGAAATTGTTGAAAAAAAAACTTAATTTTGAAGTTCTGGAGAAGTAGGGGAAAATACTCATTTCCTATCATAAATCAAGGAAAAATTTGGAGATTTTTTTTTTTTTTTTTTTTTTTTTTTTTTTTTTTTTTTTTTTTTTGTAGAATATCGTAATAAAACTATGTAAATATTTTTCAAAAATTTAACATGTTTCTAACTTGAAAAAATATTGGAACAATTTTTAATGTAAAAATTTTTAAATAAAAAATCCTTATTTCGAATTTCTGCAAAAATTGGGAAGAATTTTAGAACTTAAAAAAATATTGGAAAAATGTTTAAAGTATTAGCAATTTTGTTCTCGCAATTTATAAAAAAAAAAAACTTAATTTTGGAGTTTTAAAAAATATGGGAAAATACTCATTTGCTGTTATAAATCAGGGGAAAATTTGGGGATTTTTTATTTTGAGGGACAGAAAAATGCTCATTTGCCAGTGGCAGGTCAGTGGAAATTTCTGGAGAAAAAAAAAAAGAAAAAAAAATTTTGTTTTAAAAAATTTGAAAATTTTTGGAAACTAAAAAAAAATATTTTTTTTTAAATATGAAAAAAAAATTTAAAAAATTGAAAATTTTTGGAACTTTACAAAATGCAATTTTTTTAAATATGAACAAGTTTTTCTCGCAATTGTTGAAAAAAAAAAAAAACAACTTAATTTTGGAGTTATTATTATTATTATTATTATTATTATTATTTTATTATTATTATTATTATTATTATTATTATTATTATTATTATTATTATTATTATTATTATTATTATTAATATTATTATTATTATTATTATTATTATTATTATTATTATTATTATTATTATTATTATTATTATTATTATTATTATTTTCTTTTTAAATTTTATAAAAAATTATATTTTTTCAAAAACTTAAAAATTTTGGAAATTAAAAATGTATAGGAAAATGTTTTAAGGTATAAACGATTTTTTCTCGCAATTGTTAAATAAATGGTAATTTTGGAGTTCTGGAGAAATAGGGGAAATACTCATTTGCTATTATAAATCTAGGGAAAATTTGGGTTTTTTTTTTTTTTGGTTTTTGAAGAAAATTTTTAAAAATATATATTTTTCAAAAAATTTCAAAATTCTTGAAATTATAAAAATATTGTAAAATTGTTTTAAGTATAAGCGATTTTTTTCTGTCAATTGGTAAAAAATCGTTATTTTGGAGTTCTGTAAAAATAGGGGGAAATACTCATTTGCCATCAGAAATTTGGGGATAAAAGATTTTTTTTGAGAGAGACAGAAAAATTGTCATTTTGAAATTTTTGGTGATGAAAAAGGGAAAGAAATATGTTTTTTTCCTAAATCTGAAAATTTTAGAAAACTATGTTCATATTTTTAAAATTTCCAAAATTTCGGAAATTGAAAAAATATTGAAAAAAATTTTAAAGTATGGGCAATTTGTTTCTCGCAATTGTTAGGACAATCGTAATTTTGGATTTCTGCAAGAATTGGGAAGAATTTTAGAACTTGAAAAAATATTGGAAAAATGTTTGAAAATTTTTTTCTCGCAATTTATAAAACCAATTTATAAACCTTAATTTTGGAGTTTTGAAAAATATGGGAAATGAACATTTTCCCATATTTTTCAAAACTGCCATCATAAATCAGGAGAAATTTTGAGTATTTTTTTTTTTTTGATTTTTTTTTTTTTTTTTTTTTTGAATTTTTAAAAGTATAAGTGATTTTTTTCTTGCATTTGTTAAAAAAAAACTAAATTTTGGAGTTCCAGAAAAATAATGGAAAATGTTAATTTGCTATCATAAATCAGGGGAAAATTTGGGGGGATTTTGTTTTGTTTTAAAAATTAGGAAATATTTTCGGATTTTTTAAGGAATATTGATTCGAATATGTTTTGGATATACAGCAGAAATATAGATCTCTCTTCTTTGGTGACTTATAGTAGAATTTGATGAAGAATATTTCTTCTTTTAACACCTTCCACCTAGAACGAGATTTTATGTTACTTTTAGGGGCCAAATCGAAAAAAGTCCGAGGAAAAATTGGTCAAAAAAATAAAAAAAATATTTTCTGATTTCTTTAGGGAATATTTAGGCAAATATTTTTGTGGTAAAAATGGGAAATAGAGATTTCTCTTCTTTGATGACTTATTGTAGAATTTGATGAAGAATATTTTTCTCCTTGACGTCATCCATCTACAATCACATTTTGTTGGAGAATTTTAGACAAGCTCACAATAAGTACGGCTTTAGCCCTAAAATGTCTCTTTGATATATACAAATTCCTGACGTTTCTGTAAGATTTACAGCCTTAACGTCTTCTAAGACCTATAGTAGAATTTTATGACAAACAATTTTGTGGAATATTTTGTCTTGCTACGATGCCGTTTCAACGGAGTTTTCCAGCATATTTTGAAAATAGTACCAAAAAGACCCCTTTCATGGCTCGCTTGAGGGTTAAAATATTCCACCGAAATGTGTTATGTATTTTTATCTTCAATATTGCCAAAGACACTATATACGTAAAATGCAGGGATTTTGAGGAATCTTAAGTTGAAATTTTGTAAAAGTTTGGGAGAGGGTAAAGTTGCGTTCTCCTCTATTTTTTTATTCAATTTTTTATTTTTTATTTGAAGAAAATTTTTAAAAATATATATTTTTCAAAAATTTCAATATTTTTTAACTTGAAAAAAATACTGGAAACATCTTTAAAGTATGGGCAATTTTTTTTTCTCGCAATTGATAAAAAAACTTAATTTTGGGGTTTTGAAAAAAATATGGGAAGATGCTCATTGGCCATCATAAATCAGGGGAAATTTTGGAGGATTTTTTTTTTTTTTGTTTTGAAGAAACTTCTAAAAATATATATTTTTTAAAAATTCCAAAATTTTTTGAAATTGTAAAAATATTGGAAAATTTTTAAAAAATATATTTTGTCCTTGGACAAAAATATTTTTTTTTAAATTCTCAGTTTTTTTTTATAAAAAAAAACAACAAAAAATTAGGAATAACTGAAAGAGAAAGTACATTTTATTATATAATTAAAATGTCTGAAAATATATAAATTTATATTTTTTTATTATTTTTTTTTTTTTTTTGTTTTGTTTTTTTTTATTTTGTTTTTTTTTTTATTTTTTATTTTGCATGTTTTAGCTCCTTAAAATATATATTTAAAAAAAATCCAAAAAATATATATATTTATATTTTTTTATAAAATTTCCATATATCCCCCCTGCTTATGAAGTGTTTTAGAAATTGTAAACCAAATCCAAAAAAATTGTTTGTTTTACATCCAAAAAAAAAAACCTTTATCTTATTTTATGAAAATTTCTTTCTTTTTTCAGTGTCTAAATGTGTAGAATCCCCCTCCACAAAAACAAAAATTAACAGAAAATAATCCCCCTCAAACTACCAATACCAACACCATCACCAAAAAAAAAAAAAAATACCAAACTTTAAAAAAAATAAAAACCAACTCAAATCACACCTTCCTCCAATCCGAGTAGTTTTATTATCTTAAAACTCAATATGTTTTGTATTTGTGTGAGTGTCTTAATTGTTTGGTAAAGAATACAAAATATAAACAAAAAAAAAAAAGCTCAAAAGCTTTGCAAGCCGTTTTGTGGAAGTTGCTTAAGGCTTTTGGTGTGTGTGTGTGTTTTGTTTTGGAGAGCAGACTTCGTTGCATTTCTGGATTGTTTTTCTATCGACCGTTGGCTGTGACGAAGCACAATTATGCGCCATGCCAAAACTGAGGCATTACATGTCCATGGATCAACCGTCCGCGACCACCATCAGGAAAAAGTTCGAAAACTCAAATATTTTTACAAAAAAAAAAAAAAAAAATTCTTCGAGAGGGGATTTCACAAGCTGTGCTCTAAGCTTTTATTTTGGGAATAAACTTGTGAGGTCCTCTACTCAAAACTGTAAATATTTTAGGACAAAGATGTGTACAAAAAGGTATTCATGAAAGCTTTCATGGCGTTATTTCAAACATAGATGTCGCTAAGTTATGATAGACTCAAATATATATGACTCCATTATCATAACTATCAAAGAATAGTATTTTAGGCTAATTTTTTTGTAACTAGGACTTAATTTATTTTAATAAAATTTGTTTTTTTTTTTATTTCCGACCAAAAGAAAAAGTCGACCAAAAATTGGAAATTGGTCGAATGTTACTGAAAGCCGAGAAAATTTTGACAAATACATATTTTAGGTTATTCTATCGATTTGTGACAATGGCAATTAAATTTTATACGAAATTAGATTTTTTGAAAACGTGACATTTTTAATTTTTTTTTTTTTTTTTTTTTTTTTTTTTCATTATCCGATCAAAACACAATTTCGTTAAAAAATCCCAAATTGTATTATATCCTACAGAAATTATGTTTCCTATTAATTTTAGACCAAAAAAAATTATTTCGACTAAAAAAATTAATTTCGACCAAAATTGAAAATTGGTCAAATGTTACTAAAAGCCGGGAACATTTGGAAAAAAACATTTTCTACGTAATTCTAGCAACTTCTTCTTTTAATTTTAGACAAAAAAAAAAAAAAATATTCGACAGAAAAATTAATTTCGAACAAAAATTGAAAATTGGTCGAATGTTACTGAAAGCTGGGAAAATTTGTAAAAAAAATTCTCTAAGTAATTCTAGCAGTTTGTGACCAGGGCATTTTTAGTTTTTCTTTCAATTTCCGGCCAAAACAAAATTTCGATCAAAAATTCCTAATTAGTTCTCTTGTCTTTTACAGAAATCATGTTTTCTTTTAATTTTAAACAAAAAAAAAATATTTCGACCAAAAAAAAAACGACCAAAAATTGAAAATTGGTCGAAAGCTGGGAAAATTTGAAAAAAACATTCTCTACGTAATTCTAACAGTTCTGACAATTAAATTTTGTACAAAATTAGATTTTTTGGAAATGTGTCATTTTTTTTTTTTTTTTAACTTTCCGACCAAAACACAATTTCGACCAAAAATTCCAAATTGTTTCTCTTCTCTTTCTTTTTTATTCTAGAGAAATCATGTTTACTTTTAATTTTAGACCAAAAAAAAAAAAAAAATATTTCGACCAAAAATAGAAAATTGATCGAATGTTACAAAAGCCGGGAAAATTAAAAAAAAAAAAAACATTCTCTACGTAATTCTAGCAGTCTTTGACAATGAGTATTAAATTATATACAAAATTAGGTTTTTTGAAAAGGTGACATTTTTAAATTTTCTTTTCACTTTGCGACCAAAACACAATGTTGACCGAAAATTCCAAATTGGTTATCTTCTCTTTCTTTTATATTCTACAGAAATCGTGTTTTCTTTTAATTCTAACTAAAAAAAAAATATTTGGATCAAAAAAATGTTTTCGACCAAAAACTGAAAGTTGGTCGAATGTTAAAATAAGTCGGAAAATTTTGGAAAAAGCATACTTTACGTGATTCTAACAGTTTGTGACTATGACAATTAAATTTTTACAAAATTTGATTTGTATTTTTTTTTTGTTTTTTTTTTGAAAATTTGACATTTTTAATTTTTCTTTCTCTTTCCGACCAAAACATAATTTTGACCAAAAATTCCAAATTAGTCAACTTCCCTTTCTTTTATATTCACAGAAATCAAATTTTCTTTTAATTTTAGACAAAAAAAAATATTTCGACCAAAAAATATTTCGTCCAAAAATTGAATATTGGTCGAATGTTACTCAAAGCCGGGAAAATTTTGGCACATACATATTTTACGTAATTCTAGCAGTTTGTGGCCATAACAATAAAATTTTCTACAAAATTTGATTTTTTGAAAATGTAACATTTTTATTTTTTTCTTTTCAATTTCCGACCAAAACACAATTTCGACCAAAAATTCCAAATTGCTTCTCTTCTCTTTCTTTTATATTCTACAAAAATCTTGATCTCTTTTAATTTTAGACCAAAAAAAAATTCGACCAAAAAATTAATTTCGACCAAAAAATTTAAATGTTAAATGTTACTGATAGCCGGGAAAATTTGAAAAAAAGCATTCTCTAAGTAATTCTAACAGTTCTGACAATTAAATTTTGTAAAAAATTTGATTTTTTGCAAACGCGACATTTTTAATTTTTCTTTTCAATTTCCGACCAAAATACACATTTTCTACCAAAAAATCCAAATTGTTTATCTTCTCTTTCTGTTATATTCTACAGAAATCTTGATTTCTTTTAATTTTAGACGAAAAAAATATTTCGACCAAAAATTTAAAATTGGTCGAATGTAACTAACAAATATTTTTACCAAAAAAATGAAAAAAAAATTTGTCGAAAACATTCTTTTTAGTTAAAAATTTTAATTTTTTTTTATTATTTTTTTTTATTTTTAGACCACAAACACAATTTTGACCAAAAAAATAATTTCGACCAAAATCTTTAAAATTGCAACTTTAACAATTTTTGAGTGATTTTGTATTTTTTTCAATTTTTCTTTCGTTTAATCATTTTTTCTTTTGATTTTAGACCATAAAAATAATTTCGCTCAAAAAATAATTTCAACCAAAATCTTTAAATTTGGAACTTGGCCAATTTTTAAGTGTTTGCCTGACTTAGTTTCATTTTTCTTTCGTTTATATCATGGACCAATTATTTTGTGCTTTTAAGTTTAGAACAAAATAATAATTTCGACCAAAAAATAATTTAGGCCAAAAAATAATTTCGACAAAAATCTTTAAAATTGATATTGTGACCACTTTTTAAGTGATTATCTGACTTCTTTTAATAATTCTTTAGTGTATATCCTGCACTACACTGCATTGCACCAATCACCTTTTTTCTTTTGATTTTAGACCAAAAAATAAATTTCGACCTAAAAAATATTTTAGACCAAATTCTTTAAATTTACAACCTGACCAATTTTAAAATAATTATCAGACTTATTTCAGTTCTTCTATCGATTATATCTTGCATTAATAAGTGTTCATTTGATTTGAGAGCAAAAAAAGTAAATTTCGATCAAAAAAATTATTTTGGCAAAAAAAATAAATTTCGACTAAAATGTTTAAATTTGCAACTTGACCAATTTTTAAGTCATTGCCTGACTTATTTTAATTCTTCTTTCGTTTATCCAGTATTAATACATATTTTTTTAAATTTTAGACATAAAAAAAAATTTCGACCAAAAAAAATAATTTCGACCAAAATATTTAAAATAGCCATTTGACCAATTTTTAAGTGATTATCCGACTTATTTTATTATTTTTTCGTTTATATACTAAAAAATATATGTTCAACTGATTTTAGACCAAAAACGGAAATTTCGATCAAAAAAATAATTTCGACTAAAAAATAATTCCGACCAAATTGTTTTAATTTGCAACTTGACCAATTTTTAAGTAATTGCCTGACATATTCTAATTTTCATTTCGTTTATATACTGCGCAATAATTTCAGCATTTAATTTTAGACCAAAACAAAAAAAAAGAATTACGACCAAAAAATAATTTCGACCAAAAACTTGAAATTTGCAACTTGACCAATTTTGAAGTGATTGCCTGACTTATTTTAATATTTATTTTCTTTATATCCTGCACCAATATTTTGTTTCTTTTAATTTTAAGCCAAAAATATAATTGTGACCCAAAAAATAATTTCCACCAAAATCTTTAAAATGACAACTTGACCAGTATTTAAAAGATTAACTGATTTATTTTAGTATTTTTTCATTTATATACTGAACAATAAATGTTAATTTGATTTTCGACCAAAAAAAAGAAATTTCGATCAAAAAATAATTTCGACCAAAATCTTTAAATTTGCAACATGACCAATTTTTAAGTATTTTTTTAAAAAAATAATTACGACCAAAATCGTTAAAATTGCAGCTTTAACAATTTTGAAGTGATAGTCTGATTTATTTTAATTTTTCTTTCGTTTATATCCTGCACCAATAGTATCTGTTCTTAATTTTAGACAAAAAAAGAATAACGACCAAAAAATGATTTCGACCAAAATATCTAAATTTGCAACTTAACCAAATTTTTTAATGATTACCTGACTCATTTTTATTTCTCCTTTGTTTATATCCGGCACTAATCATTTCTTTTATATTTTAAACCAAAAAAAAAATATATTTCGACCAAAAAAAATTACGACCAAAATTTTTAAAATTACAACTTTATAAATTTTTAAGTGATTACCTGACTTTAAGAATTTTCTTTCCTTTATGTCTTGTATCAGTTATGTTTTTTCTTTTAATTTAAACCAAAAAAAAGTCAATTCCGACCAAAAAAAATAATTCCAACCAAAATCTTTAAAATTGCAACATGGCCAGATTTTAGATGATTACCTAACTTATTTTAATTTTTCTTACGTTTATACCCTACACCAATCCATTGTTTTCCTTTGATTTCAGATCAAATGAAAAATTTCGACCAAAAAATGGACAACGGTCTTTAAAATTGAAGTTTGACCAATTTTTAAGTGATTTCTTGATTTATTTTAGTTTTTTTTTTGTAATTAAATAAAAAAATTAAAATCAAAACCTCTTTGAATTTTTTTGGAATTTTCCGACCAAAAATATAAAATTTTGGTCGAATATGAATTTTTTGATTTTTGAATTATTTTTGGAATCTTCGAATTTTATGGTTATTTTTAAAATTAAAGCTAAAAATTCAAAATCAAAACCTCTTTGAAATTTTTTGGGGTTTTCCGACCAAAAAAAAATAAAATTTTCCGACCAAAAATAAAAAAAATAAAATTTTGGTCGAATATGAATTTTTTGATATATCCATTGTTTTCCTTTGATATCAGATAAAAAAAATTTCAGCCAAAAAATAAATGACAAAGATCTTTAAAATTGAAGTTTGACCAATTTTAAGTGATTTCCTTATTTATAAATTAAAAAAAATTACAATCAAAACCTCTTTGAAATTTTTTGGGATTCTCCGACCAAAAAAATAAAATTTTGGTCGAATATAAATTTTTTGAAATGAAATTTATTTGAAATTTGAATTATTTTTGGAATTTTCGAATATAATAGTTATTTTTAAAATCAAAACTTAACAATCAAAATCAAAACGTTTTGGAGTTTTTTTGGCATTTTCCCGACCAAAAAATTAAAGTTTGATAATATTTCTGATTTTTTTTTGGGATTTTGTACCAAAAAAAAAAAAATAAATAAAATTTTGGTCTTTGATAAATTTTATATTTCCTAATTTTGATTTATATTTTGGAATTTTCGAATCTTATGGTTATTTTTAAAATTAAAGCTTAACAATTAAAATCAAAACTTTTTGGACAATTTTTGAGATTTTCCGACCAAAAAAATAACATTTTGGACGAATATGAATTTTTTGATATATATTGATAATATTTCTGATTTTTTTTTTTGGGATTTTGTACCAAAAAAAAAAAAATAAATAAATAAAATAAAATTTTGGTCGTATATGAATTTTTTGATACATTTTATATTTCCTATTTTGATTTATATTTTGGAATTTTTGAATCTTATAGTTATTTTTAAAATTAAACCTAAAAATTCCAAATCAAAACATTTTTGATTTTTTTGGGAATTTCCGACCAAAAAATAAAATTTTGGACGAATATGAATTTTTTGATATATTTTGATTATATTTCTGATTTTTTACCAAAAAAAAAAAAAATATAAATAAATAAATAAATAAAAAAGATACAATTTTGGCCGTATATAATTTTTTTGATAAATTTTATATTTCCTATTTTGATTTATATTTTTGAATTTTCGAATCTTATGGTTATTTTTAAAATTAAAGCTAAAAATTCAAAATCAACAACAACAATCAATTTTGGACGAATATGGATTTTCTTGATAAATCCTATAATAATTCCTAATTTTGATGTAATTTTTGCCAAAACCCGAAAATTTTAAACCATTTAATTTCAAAATTTATTTTTTTAAATAAAAATTGAAATTAATTTTAATTTTTTTTCAATATTTGAAATTTCCATTCAATTCAGTGACTCTTAACGACATCTACCTTTGAAATTTGAACATTACGCCAGTTAAAAAAAAACAAACCCATGTCCTTTTTACACACCTCTGTCCCAAACTCTGTAAATAGCATGTCATCTATTTAATATGAAAGCTTTCACCAACACTGCTAAACATAATGTAAATACAAAGCTTTATATTCAGTCCACAAAAGCACACAAATGCATGTTAACAGATTTAACATTTAAAATAACATTAACATTAACATAATCATTTAACATTACATTCTTTTCCATAATATTTTTCGATTAACATTTTTCCACTAACATTTCCTATCAACATTTTTTTCCTTATCCTTTAAAGCTCATGTCCTTGAGATTTTACTAAAGCCTTTTTCCATGTCCTCAAAATTTTACTTAAGCTTTTCTAACTCAAAATTCATTCAATTTCGAAACTTATTGATAGCCTTAAAAATATTTAAAAAAAGGTCCACATCGATTGGAGATTTTTTAAAAATATTTTTAAAAAAATATTTTTTAAAAAATATTTTAAAAATATTTTTGAAAAATCTTCTCTTAAAAAAATCTCTTCTCTCCCTTTTTTCTTTACTCTCATTTTTCCCCTACCACCACACATTTCATATCCACACCTCACTGTAAATATTTCAATTCGTTTTCAAAATTTTCACAAAATAATTTTAGATTTTTTTTTTCAAAAATTAAATATTTTTTCTAAAATCAATATTTGCATGTCCTTTTGGGGTGACCTTCTTTTTTGTAGGACGATGACGGCAATATGCTTTGTGTGCAATTTGCCCATAATGTCCCATCAGGTGGGCCTGGTGTGGTCCGGGGGCAATGGCTGGGATGATCTTGTCAGAGAGCAGGTAAGGAAAAATTATTTATTTATTTATTTTTTTTTGGAAATTTGAAAATTTTTTGAAAAAAAAAATCATTGAAATTTTTGAAAAAAAAAAATCATTGAAATTTTCGAAAAAAATCATTGAAATTTTTAAAAAACAAATTATTGAAATTTTTGAAAAAAAAAAATCATTTAAATTTTTGAAAAAAAAATCATTGAAATTTTTGAAAAAAATTCATTGAAATTTTTGAGAAAAAAAAATCATTGAAATTTTCGAAAAAAAAAATCATTGAAATTTTTGAAAAAAAAAATCATTGAAATTTTTGAATAAAAAAAAAACATTGAAATTTTTGAATAAAAAATTATTGAAATTTTTGAATAAAAAAATCATTGAATTTTTTTTTAAAAAAATATTGAAATTTTTGAAAAAAAAAATTATTGAAATTTTTTTCCTGCAGCTGGAAGAATCGACGATACGGCAAAGATTGGGTGGCCGGCGGGATTCAGCAGCACAAATCAATACGCCTCCTAGTACCTCACCGCCACCGGGTAAGAAAAATTCTTCAGATTTATTTTCAATTTTTATTCAGACTAATCTCTTCCCCTCTCTCTCTTCCCCTCCCCCCTCCTAGGTCTCCAACGTCGTCGCCGCAGTTCCCTGGCCCAGCTGACAGATTTGCTACGCGAATGGAGCGGTGGCGTCAAACATCAAAGCACCCAGCCCCAGCGCAGCACCAAGGCCCCCCTGAATCGTCGTGAAACCTTGGCCGATTTGGCCCGAAGTTTACCCTGGCGCACCACCACCACAGATGCCTCAACAAATGTGGGAGGCTCTAATTATGTGGCCCCAAGGAAGCGACGTGAATCCAGTGCCGAATCGGGTCTGAGGAGTGCCCGACCACGCCGTGATTCGAACACTACAGAGTTTGTTAAACACTGGAATCGCCGTGAGAGTACCGTCGACGAACCAGCCCCTGTCTCGGTGTCCGTTGTGGTGGAAAGTTCCAAGGGGGTAAGTCAGATGAGCCAGATGCCAGCCGTTCTCCCCTCAATTTTGTAAATAACCAATTGTTACTCTCTTTTGTAAATATTTCGCTCTCTCTCTCTCCGATTTTCCCTTTGTTTTGTGTATTTCCCCCCCTCTTTTGCCTTCCCCTTTGAGAAGAGCTCTCGTCGAGATTCGGGCGAGAGTAACAACTCCAGCCGTCGTGATAGTTCCATTGGTCGCATTTACACACCATCAACAACACCACCTCCTCCACCGCGCATCGGTGTCAGTCCGGTCAAGCGGGACTCACTGGCCGCACCCGAATTCCCCAATTTCCGTTATGAGCAACGACCCTCCACAAGTTCGGCAGGTTCCGATTCAATACAATATTTTTCTACTTCTTCCCACAATCAGGTCGACTCCAGTTGCCAGGCCCTGCCACCGCCCACGATCATCACAAGTTCGGTAACACCACCGGCCACAAGTCCCACAGCGCCAAAGGGCCGAAGGGACTCGACGACCCAGTGTGGCCGTGTTAATCGCAGAGATTCCAAGGCTGGCATTAGCCCTGAGAGGGCACCACGTTTGCAGCGTCTGCAGAGACAAGCCACGGCCTTTGATGAGAGTTGTCTGCCGGGTGGTAGCCGCAGGGGATCCCAGCCGGCCCTAAGCCCTGATCCGCCAGAGGAGGGCCAGCGGCGTAGCTCACGGCGCGATTCCCTAAGCCCCGACAGTGCTTCACGTGGCCGCAGAGATTCAAGAACCCATCTCTCGCCCGATCGCAGTCATGAACGTGAGGGAAGTCCCCATCGCCGTCATGCATTGCGGAGGCAAAGCTCCTCGGCGGCACGTAGCTCACGTTCACCCGATTCGACAAGTATATGTTCCTCGAGAGATGCCAGTCCCTGTGGGCGGGCACCACCGCTGCCTGTTACGGAAAATTCCTCAGCCAGACCTGCCATTAGACGTCAATCGACAACGGAAGAGATCCTTATATCTCGTGGTTTTAGGCGGCAGTCCACAACGGAGGAGATGATCAGGTGTCGGAATTTTCGTCGCCAGTCATCGCAGAGTGATGATGTTTGTCGGTAAGTTAAGGGGGTGGAGGGGAGGGAATCTGTAACTTTTGGAACTAAATGGAGGGGTATTTGGTTTCTTTTACAGCTATCGCGGCCGTAGAGACTCCAGTGCCCAAATCATTGATGGCACCATTGGCACCATGACCGTGGAGACCACCAGCACATTTTTCGATTCCAGCACTCAGACAGGTAAGTTCCTAGAAAAATAAGAAGAGAGGGGTGGGGAGGGGCTTATGTTGATCAGGGGAGAATGTGGGGGGAGGAGGTAATTATTGGAAACAAGTCAGCAAAGGCTATTGTCGTAAGGGACGGATCATGTGATACCCTACCACTTAGGTCCGAACCAAGTTTGGTCGATTTTTTTCAATGGCCCGGAAAACTCTTAAAAATCCTAAAAATATTTTTAAAATTTTTTTCTACAATTTTTTTTTAATTTTTAGAACAGATCAGGTAATACCCTACCACTTAGGTCCGAACCTATTTTGGTTGATATTTTCCAATGACCTAGAAAACTCTTAAGAATCCTAAAAATATTTTTAAACATTTTCTACAATTTTTTTTAAATTTTTTAGGACAGTATAACAGTTTATAACAGTTTACAAAACTGTTATACAGGTGAAAAAATCATCATATTCTTTTACAACCCACAAACTAACATATTCGAAGCATTATAGAGCAGTTTTCAACTGAGTATAACAGTTTGCATAACTGTTATACAGTGTAAAATGACTACAAAATATTGTACAACAAACAAAAAAACTAGTTTCAAAGCAATTTAATACGTATGACCTGTTTTAATTTTACAAAAATATTTAAATATAACAGTATAACAGTTTATAACAGTTAAGAAAACTCATATATAGACTATAAAATTAGCATATTCTTGTATAACCAACAAACCAACATTTTTCGCTGCACTATATAACAGTTTTCCATTGAGTATAACAGTTTGCATAACTGTTATACAGTGTAAAACAACTAGAATTTTTTGTATAACAAACATAAAAACTTGCGTTAAGCAATTTAATAAGTGTGCCCTGTTTTAATTTTAAAAAAATATTTCTTTATAACAGTATAACAGTTTATAACAGTTAACAAAACTCATATACAGGCCATAAAATCAGCATATTCTGGTACAACCAACAAACTAATGTATTCGAAGCATTATATAGCAGTTTTCAATTGAGTATAACAGTTTGCATAACTGTTATACAGTGTAAAAAACCTAGAAATTCATCTACAACTAACATAGGAACTTGTTTCAAAGCAATTTAATATGAATGCCCTGTTTTAATTTTACAAAAATATTTCTTTATAACAGTATAACAGTTTATAACACTTAACAAAACTCATATACAGGCCATAAAATCATCATATTCTTGTACAACCAACAATCTAAAATATTCGAAGCATTATATAGCAGTTCTCAATTGAGTATAACAGTTTGCATAACTGTTATACATAGTAAAACGTCTACAAAATATTGTACAATAAACGTGAAAACTTGTTTCAAAGCGATTTAATACTTATGTCCTGTTTTAATTTCACAAAAATATTTAATTATAACAGTATAACAGTTTATAACTGTTTACAAAACTCATATACAGGCCATAAAATTAGCTTATTCTTGTATAATCTATCAATCAGTGTATTCGAATCATTCTATAGCAGTTTTCAACTGAGTATAACAGTTTGCATAACTGTTATACACTCTTAAAAAGTAAAAATTAATGTACCACAAACATGAAAACTGGTTTTGGGCAATTTAATACTTATGCCCTGCTATAATTTTACAAAAATATTTCTTTATAACAGTATAACAGTTTATAACAGTTAACAAAACTCATATGCAGGCCATAAAATTAGCATATTTTTGAATAACCAACAAACGAACATTTTCGCTGCGCTATATAACAGTTTTCCATTGAGTATAACAGTTAGCAAAACTGTTATACAGCGTAAAAAACATAGAAATTCATGGACAACTAGCATAAAACTTGATTTGAGCAATTAACAACTGTTGAATATATTTAAATTTAATTTTTTTGCAACAGTATAACAGTTTATAACTGTTATATGTTATATCTGGTTACAAAACTGTTATACATGCCTCAAAATCAGCACATTCTTCCATAACCAACAACGAAACATTATCTGCGCACTATATAACAGTTTTCCATTGAGTATAACAGTTAGCAAAACTGTTATACAGTGTAAAAAACTTATAATTCATGTACAACTAACGTAGAAACTTGTTTTAAGCCATTCAAAGAAAGTTTTTGAATGAGTATAACAGTTTCTGAAACTGTTATACAATCGCCAAAAGTAACAAATTATTGTAAAACTAACATGCATTGTAAAATAAATTGAAAAAAATATATATTTTTTATGAATTTTTCAAACCAAAACCTTATAGGTTTTGCCAAAAAAAATTTCAAAATCTTTTGGAAAATCTCAAATAAGGATTTCTCTTTTTTTTTTTTTTTTTTTTTTGAAAAAAAAAATTATTTTCAAAGAATCGAAATCCAAAATCCTGAAACTGTTATACAAACTAAAAACGTGTCTATTTATTCCTCGAAGGCTGCTCACAAAAAAACATCCATTGAAATATTCTCTTAATTACTATTCAAAATATCCTTTCACTCAATTAATTGTGGTTCATATTAACCCTCTAAATATGTCCAAAAATTTTAAAAATATTAAAAAAAAACTCTTAATTTTTTTTCAAATTTATTCCTTGAAGACACCTAGAAATAACAAAAAAAATAATATCCTTCCAAAACTTCTTTTAATTATCCCCCAAAAATATCCTTACACCAAAGTCCTTAAAGACCACAAAAAAATCCCTCTTTTCCACCCCCGGCAACTAAATGCCAACTAATTAATCCTTTCGACACCTGTTGCCCCCCAAATTGCAGCACCAGCAGCAACAGGTGTCAGTCTCACAGCTAATATTTTTCAAATTCATTTCTAAATGGCTTTTAATAACTTGACAAACTTAACAACAACAAAAATAACAATAATTATTAACATAAATATACAAAAGGCAACAACAACACCGAGAAGTAGTTGGATAACAGCAACCCAATTCGTTACAGAAAAAAAATGAGAAGGAGAAAAAAAACTTGGTCAAGTGTCCTTTAGAGTGTATGCTGTTGGTAAATGAATGTCAAGTGTCCTGGACGGCAAAGTTAGTTGGTAAAGCAATTGTAAAAGTTCAACAAATGCTAACAACAACAAGAATAACAAAAATAAATTTAAGGCCATGATGTTGGGTTGTTGTAGCGGGAATATTTGGAAAAAAGAAATGTTTTTCAAAAATTCAAAGCCGATCCTTAGAAAAAGGGGGTTTAAAAAATTAAGTTGATTAGGGGTCACTGGAAAAATATTTTTTAAAAAATCCATTTTTGAAAGAAGTCCTTTGGAAAAAATGTTTAAAAAATCTAAATTAATCGATCGATAGTCCTTAGAAAAAATATTTTGAAAAATTTCATGTCGACAAAAAGTCTTTAAGAAAATATTTAAAAAAATATCTCCTTTGACAGAGAGACTTTCGATTTTTTTGTTTCAAATCCAGGTTAGTAGAGGGCCCTGTAAAAAAACATTTTTTAAAAATCTATAATGACTGCTAGTCTTAAAAAAATATTTATAAAATTTACTTAGAAAAAAATATTTAAAAAAAAAACTAGTAGAAAAAGGAAAAAATATAAAATCTATGCCCATCGATAGTTCTTACAAATTATATTTTGAAAAAAAAAAATAAAAAATTGAAAAATGCTAAAAATTCATTAAGAAAATATTTGAAAAAAAAAATCTCTCCTTTGACAGAGCGACTTTAGACTTTTTGTTTTGAATCCAGGTTGGTAGATGGCTCTGGAAAATATTTAAAAAAAAAAACCTAAAATATATATATTTTTTTTTTTGAAAAAAAAAAAAAATATTTCAAAAATATCCTTTATGATTGCTAACGTTGATTTGGTAATTCAAAACAATTCACGTTGATTTTTAGTCCTTGAACCATTTTTTTTTCTTTTGAAAGATCTACATTGTCCTTAAAATTAAGATAACAAATCCATATTGATTTCCTTCCTTTCCTAGTCCTTCAAAAAAGTAAAGAAAGAAATATTTCTCATAGACAAAAAAAAACAAGGTGGGTTTTTTTAAAAAAAAATATTATTCCAGGACTTAAGAAATCCTTGAAAAATATTTTTTATAAAATATCCGCCTTGGTTTTTAGTCCTTGAAAAATATATCTTTAGTCTATGAAAAATAATTTTTTTTTAAATATTCACGTTGAATTTTAGTCATTGAAAAAAATTTAAAAAAAATCCACGCTGATAGGGGGTCCTTTGAGATATATTTGTGAAAAATCTACGATAATTGTATGTTTTTGGAAAAAAAAATTTTAAAATATCTTTTATGATTGTTAACGTTGATTCAAAAAAAAAAATTATTTATAGTCCTTGAAAATTATTTTTCTATAAAATATCCACGTTAAATTTTAGTCCTTGATAAGTATTCCTTTCAAAAATATTTTTTTTATAAAATATCCGCTTTGAATTTTAGTCCTTGAAAAATAAAAAAAAACCCATTGATATAGGGGATCCTTAGAAACGTATTTGTGAAAAATCTGCGATAGTTCTATGTTTTCTTAAAAAAAAATTAAATATTGTCCTTTCTAATTGCTTCAGTTGATTTGATATTTAAAAAAAAAATTCAAGCTGATTCATAGTCCTTTAAAAATATTTTTTACGTTGAGTGTTAGTCCTTGAAAAGTATTTGTTCAGTCCTCGAAAAATATTTTTTTTTATAAAATATCCTCGTTGATTTTTAGTCCTTGAGAAGTATTTCTTTAGTCCTTAAAAAATATTTTTTTATAAAATATCCAATTTCATTTTTAGTCCTGGATTAAAATTTCATTAGTCCTTGAAAAATATATATTTTTTTATAGAATATCCACGTCGATTTTTAGTCCTTGATATGTATTTCATTAGTCCTTGAAAAAAAAATATATTTTTTTATAGAATATCCACGTTGATTTTTGGTCCTTTATATGTATTTCTGCAGTCCTTTAAAAATATTTTAATAAAATATCCACGTTGATTTTTAGTCTTTGATAAGTAATTCTTTAGCCCTTGAAAAGTATTTCGTTGGTCCTGGAAAAATAATCCATGTTAGTAAAGGGCCCT